TATCTATCTATCTATCTATCTATCTATCTATCTATCTATCTATCTATCTATCTATCTATCTATCTATCTATCTATCTATCTATCTATCTATCTTTCCACACATTGAACCATTGCATTATCCCCATGGTCAAAATTCAGAGCAACGGACTCATAGTTATGACAGTCTCAATGTCCCAGGGTTGTACGATCCCCTTTTTTGAGACCTTCGGACAAGCAGAGTCGATGGGGAAGTCGGACTCACTTAACAACCCTGTTACTCGCTTAACAACCGCAGCGATTCACTTAACCACGGAGGCAAGAAAGGTCGTAGAATGGGGCAAAACTCACTTAACAAAATACCTCATTTAATAACTGAAGTTTTGGGCTTAATTGTGGTCGTAGGTCGAGGACTACCTATACTTAACAGCCACACATGCAAAGATTCGTTTGAAGTTACAATGCTGGATGGATTTTTCCACGCTTAACGACCAACAGTCCCAGCATCCCCATGGTCATGTGATACAAATTCAGATGCTTGACGGGGATCACGCGAATCCCTTTTGTGACCTTCTGACAAGACAAGCCAGTGGGGAAGCCCAGATTCACTTAACAACCGCGTGGCTAACCTATCAGCTGCCAGGGGTTCACTTAACAGCTGTGGCAGCAAAGGCTGTAAAACGAGGCAGGATTGACTAAACAAACGTCTCACGTAACAACGGGAATTTTGGACTCGGTTGTGGTCGTAAGTCGAGGACCACCTGTATTTGCTGCCGTGTGGTAAATAGGGGTTATTTTGAGGTGTGTCATGTGGGGAATTCTGGGAGTTGAAGGCCCAGCCCTGTCTGGAGGGACTTCAGGTTGAGACGTCCAGTCTAGGATTGGCACCTCTAATGCACCAAGCCAACTTGACTCATATTTAGTCACTAAATATCCCCCTTTTGCGACTTTCCGACGAGCAAAGCCAACGGGGAAGCCGGATTCACTTAACAACCGGATTGTCAAGTGAACAACTTCAGGGATTCACTTAACAACGGTGGCTAGAAAGAGGGCAGCCAAACTCACACTTGAGAAATTTCTCACTTAGCAATAGCAATAGCAGTTCGACTTATATACCGCTTCATAGGGCTTTCTGCCCTCTCTAAGCGGTTTACAGAGTCAGCATATTGCCCCCAACAATAATCCAGGTCCTCATTTCACCCACCTCGGAAGGATGGAAGGCTGAGTCAACTTTGATCCTGGTGGGATTTGAACCGCCGAGCTGCAGAAGTGCAGTCAGCTGAAGTAGCCTGCAGTGCTGCATTTAACCACTGCGCCACCTCGGCTCTTAACAAGATACTTTTTGGGGTCAGTTGTGGTTGTACGATTCGCACTCTGGACATTGGCAGCCTGCTTGCCTTTCCCTCCTCTGGATCCGGGAACTCCTGGAGTCTCTGACTTGGAGAGGAGAGGAAGAACAAAAAACGGGGATTTTCTCCTTTTGGACCCGCCAGGGGAAGTTATCCAAAGGCTGCCACGGATTTTAACACTACGGCGTCCCTCCCACCAACAACGGCTTGGCCATTGGTTCTCCCGGCCTGGCGGAGGAGGTTTTGAGCCACGATCGGCTTCCTGCCTTGTGTGTTTCCATGCAGCTGACCACGCCTGCCTTTGGGGGGGGGGGAGTTTTATATATATTTTTCCCCCCTTTTTGGTCGTTTGCTGGAGCCTCGGGAAGCTAAACGTTTCCAGGCTTCTTTTCATGACAGGCGAGATTTAAAACGCCTGCTATTTAGCACGCATGTGCCCTGGCAGGCACGAGCATGCCACATTGTTCTCAAAAAAAAAGAAGAAGAAGAAACTAAAGTGAATCGGTGCGCCAGGAGACTGCAGATTGGGTGCCAAGCCGAGCAGAATCTCGTAAACAGCATAAATCACTCAGAAACGCCTGCATAATTGCACAATTTTAGTTCGCTTCCTTTGGGGGTTTTTTCCCCCCTCCCTCTCTCCCCCTTTCCAAAACGCACTCTCAATTTAATTTTAATTTTAATTTTTTTTCCTGGCACTGTTGGAACTGGCTACCCTCTCTGGCTGCAGAAGCTGCAAAAGCTGGGAGGGATCCTAAGGAGGGAACTTAACAGCCAGAGCGATCCAAGTTTCTAGTTCTCATCAACAAAGGCGCGAGGGTTCTCTCCTGGGTTAGAGGAACAGTCGGATCAAAATGGAGCAGAACCGGTGTGTGTGTGTTTGTGTGTGTGTTTAGTGCAGGGGTGTCAAACTTGATTTCATTGAGGGCCGCATCAGGGTTGTGTTCGACGTGTGTGTGTGTGGCTAGAGTGGGCATGGCCAGCTCGACATCAGCTGTGTCGGGGCCGCCTGTGGTGTCCCGAGTGCTCTCCCAGCAAAAAAGGACTCCTGAACTCCATTTCTGGCTGCGACAGCCTCCTCCATCCCTCTGCCAGCAGAAATGGAGCTCTGGAGGGCGGACCATGGCGTGACCCGTCAAAACCGTGCTCGACTAAGCCGCGCCCGATTAAACCGCATCGCTGATGTCATCAACAGGGCGACAACAGCCAGCGTGGAGAAAGAAGGGCGCTTTAAAGAGTTAGGTTAAGGGTTAGGATTAGGTTAAGGGTTAGGTTTAGGGTTAGGTTAAGGGTTAGGTTTAGGGTTAGGTTAAGGGTTAGGATTAGGTTTAGAGTTACAGAGTCAGCATATCTCCCCCCACAGTCTGGGTCCTCATTTCACCCACCTCAGAAGGATGGTAAGGCTGAGTCAACCTTGAGCCGGTGAGATTTGAACNGGGTGGGAGAAGCAGGGTGCGCCAAAAGGAGACTCTATGGCAAGGGGCGGGTTTTCTGGTCAGCTCCACATTTGATAGGGCTTTCGGTTAGGACAGGTAGCGTTAAAAGGACGCCGCAATAGGAGGAGACTCTATGGTGGGGGAAACCAGACTTCTGGTCGGCTCCAGAATTGAACAGGGGGCTTCAGGTTAGGACCTTTGTGGCTCTTTGAATATTTAAGATTGCTGACCCCTGGTCTGGAGTCATGCAATTGAGATGGGGGGACAGTGGTGGGTTACGGCCCGTACGGCAGTGGCCACCATACCGGAACGGTATTTTGGAGGGCCCACCCGGCTGCCCGTGTCCCTTACCTGTATTTAAGCCAACCGGGCCTTTTGCGCGTGCATACACAGCGTACGGCACCTGGGCGACCTCCGCTGGGCAGCTGGAGCATCGCAGAGCCGTGGGTGCGCAGTGCACGTGCCCAAGGTGGACGCCCGGCCCCGTCGCAGCGTGCCGGTTGCGACGGGATCCGGAACCCACCACTGGGGGAGGGGGGGGTGTCTACATCCATTGAGGCAAAAAAATAAGAAATGCCCTTGGGCCCAAATGGACCGGTGGACCCTCAACGTCTTTTAACTCTTCCTTGCAGGGTTCCAACCATTGTAACGGGAAAGCGTTTCCGGCCGAGTTGGAGCCTGCGGACGGCCACCTGAGGCTCCCCTCGCATCCTGTGGCGCTAAAACAGCCCGTGGAGGAAGTGACGGCTCTGCGACTCGTGCATGAAACCCCCCTGCACCATTCAGCCTACATCCCGGTGCCCCGGCAGAGGTATGAGGTGTGGGGACCACCATTTGTTTCTTCCCTCCAGTGGTGGGTTGCCAATTTTTCTACTATCAGTTGGGGCGCACTCCCATGCACAACGCTTCTGTGCATGCGCAGAAGCAGACAGGCCAGGGGGCGGAGCCTCCCACCGCCAGTACTACTGGCTCGCTCGATCCAGGCCGAACTGGGAGCAACCCACCCCCGACACACACATACACACACTTCAGTTTAACCCTGCTCTGCCAATATAATTCCAGAAATCCTCAGCCAGCAGACTTGTAAACTTCAACTCCCAGAATTCCCAGCATTTCTGGCTGGGGAATGCTGGGATTTGCAGGCCACAAGACTTCAAGTTCCAAGGTTCATAGTTGCTATAGTCCATAATTCTGGGAGTGATTTATGATGGGTTTTCACTGTTACGAACTTTGCAGCATCGTGCGATTAAAATTCACTCACTCAGCAGCTGACTCGTATTTATGACAGTGGAACTGTCCCGGGGTCACATGATCCCCTTTTTTGCGACTTTCTGACAAGCAAAGTCCACGCGGAAGCCAGATTCACTTAACAACCGTGTTCCTGACTTAATAACTGCAGTGATCCACTTAAGAACAGTGGTTACAGAGGTTGCAGAATCACTTGCTTAACAACTGTCTCGCTTAGCAACAGAAATGATGGGCTCAAGCGTGGCCGTAAGCCGAGGACCACCTATCAAAACAATTAATCAGAAAAAAATACAGTGCTTAATTTTAAAGCAGTGTTTCTCAGAAACTTTCAGTGGTGTGGAGTTCAACTCCCAGAATTCTCCAGCCAGCATGGTGGACTTCAACTCCCAGAATTCCCCAGCTGGCGTAGTAGACTTCAACTCCCAGAATTCCCCAGCCAGCATGGTGGACTTCAACTCCCAGAATTCTCCAGCCAGCATGGTGGAGTTCAACTCNACCTGGCTATTCCAGCAGGCCTGGGGCTGTTGACCTCTAGATTGAGGTCCAGCCCCGCTTAGATTGGGTGCATGTTGTGTCTTTTTAAATTTGTCATGTTTTTATCTGTTTTTAATTTCTCTTAATTTCTGTTACTGTAAGCCACCCGGAGTCCTCCGGGATTGGGCGGCCTATAAATTTAATAAACTGTTAAACTGTTAAACAGAGTTACGACTGAAAAGGAACCTATCCATTACGGTCATAAGTCATAACAGTCATAAATCAAGTGAGCCACATGACTGATCCAATTGTATGACCTTTTTTGCAACCATGGTGTGAATGCCGTGGTTTTTAAGTGTTCCCATGCTTCATTATGGGTGTAGTTTTGCTGAAAACCGGATGTGAATATCAGTTTTTGACAAACCATTGTTAAATCATGATCATAGGACTGTGGGACATTGTAAACAACTTGTAAGCAATGACTAAAAAGCATCTCCTTTCCCTCATGGTTATAATAATATATCCTGAAAGTGCTGCGTACCTGAAAAGCAACGTATAGGGCTGACAGAGGCAAAATAGCCACTAAAACCATCGGTGTGGCCACCACAATCACAACATAGATCTCCAGAAGGTTAAACAGGAAGCCCAGCAGAGACTTCAGCTTGTCCGGGATGATGGAATCAATTGCGTCCATTTCTTTGGAGAAACGGTTGAGGAGGTTACCGCTGGGAGTCTGCTCAAAGAAGCCCATTGGAGACCGGAGAACATCCAACAGGAGTTGCCGGAAGAGCTTACGGGAAGCCACGATCCCGGCCAGAAACACCGCAGCAACCGACCCGAATTTCCCAATGGCTGCAACAGGAGATGAAAGATTCCAGCTGTTTCAGGCAGTAGAGGTCTTTTCCTTATCAAGATTATCATCATGTAATAGTGAGATGGGTGGCTACATACATTGATTGATTGATTGATTATTGAATAAATCAGGGATGATTCATTTGCATAGGATGATTTTTTTTAAAAAAATATAGTTTTATTGTATGCTAAGAAACAAGCAATACATTAATAGCAATAGCAACAGCACTTAAGACTTATATAGTGCTTTACAGTGCTTCACAGCCCTCTCTAAGTGATTTACAGAGTCAGCCTCTCTTGCCCCCAACAATCTGAGTCCTCATTTTATCCACCTTGGAAGGATGGAAGGCTGAGTCCAACCTTGGGCCTTTAACGATCGAGCTGCTGGCAGTGAGCAGAGTTACCAACAATACTGCATTCTAACTACTGGGAGGGAGGGAGGGAGGGAGGGAGGGAG